AGGCTTCAACCGCACCTGCGCTCCAGCGGGAGCCGGCTGCCCTGGCCGGGAGCAAGAGGGGAGGGGAGGCAGAAACCGCACATGGGAAAGCATGAGACTGAGAACCACTAGCAGCTCGTGCTCTCAAGGACACATGACAGGTCACCTGCGGGTAGCAGAGACACAACTCGAAATCTGATGAGAAACCAAAAACCCGTCTTCTCCTTATGTACCTACCACTTTGTTCCACTTTGGGCTTTCTCTGTATTTTCCTTGTTTCAAGCATTTGCTTCTTCAGCAGCGAGAAGGCCTTGGACTGCTGCGCTTCAGACAACACTCCCATGTTCCCGAGGAGCTGAAGCACCCGACGCAGCAAGAAAGGCTTCAGTTTGTACTGTGCCACCTTGAGAGGCCTGATGCGAATTTTAGGCTGACCGACTTCTCGATCGCAGTTATGAAATCAGAAGAGATTCCAAGCCAAGCTAGGTCCAAAGGTGTCCACTAAAACGTATCGGGAAAGTTTAAGGAGCATGTCACAGGACAACTGCTTTTCTTGTGATTTGCGGCTCAGATTCTGACTTAGCAAACTTCTTCTCTCCTTGCGATTTAGGAGCGAGCTGCTTCTGAACAGGCCGGAGGGTTTGTAAGAGCCCACAGTCCCCGGGAGAATTTTCTTGCTGTGGAACCGTCCCTCATAATCCGTATCCCACAAAGAAGTGTTGGGATTCAGGCTATTTTCTGAAATAATCATAAACACAGTAAGACCTATCAAACATAAACAATGAAGAACAATTTTCCTCATGTATTTCTTAAAAGATATATAATATAATATAAACACATTTATGAATGTTCTACTCTATCCCTGAATACACTGTCGTTTACCACACTACTGTGACAAGCTTACTCTTACATTTTGATAGGCCAAACCAATAGATTATAAGGATTAATTATGTATTTAGTTCTTAGGATTATTTTCATTAATTCTTTTCAGGTACTATAACATAATAATGATTATTTGCTGTTTTTTATTTAAACTAATGTCTTCTGTAATGGATGCTCAGGAAAAATATCTTTCTTATATATACACACATACATAGATTCCTCAAAAATATCAGTGACCAGAAGAATATGTTCTATTCCGTATAATTTTCTGGAAAAGATTAATAATAGTCATGATTCCTATTACAGATTACAATTGCACCTCATATATTGAGTGCATTGAGAGAAAGCCTTTTTCATACGTGGTTGAGGAAGATGTTCACACTCTGGCCGGCCCATCTGCATTTTGGGTCCAGACCACGAGGCTCTAATGCAGCTTCTAGGACTCCAACAGATACAGGATAGGGTTTGAAATAGTTAATGCTTTAACGTAACGGCATACTGCTAGAGGTCATGTCCTCAGAGTCCTGGAATGCGCCTCCAGCACTCGCGTGCATTTGTGAAAGGGAGGACAAGATTTTTAAAAATGTTCTTCTATTTCCTAGAGGTGGATCTCCGTCCTTCCGCACATTTTAGAAGCTTCAAATATTTTTTTATTTGATTTCAAGATTAGGGTTACCAACTTGAGGTAGTCACGACTGACTGTCAAAGGGATTACTTGCATATTGCAGTCATATTAGTTACAAACTCTATTAAATTGTTAGAATTTTATGTAGTAAAACATACATTTATGGCTGTAATTCCATCACTGTGAAATACAACCCTGTAAACTGCAAAACATGATTGCCAGGACTAGAAGGCAGCCTCAGAAATATGTCATAACAATGCTCATAATTTACATGTTGACTGCATCTTTCATTCAAAACAATCAATGGACACTGCAAGAGTCCTATTCATGAGACCCCTGAGAGATGAATGAATTCGTTGACTATTTTATTGACGGGCGAACTGAGGAAGAGGGGGGCAAATAGCTCGTGCAAGATCACCAGGAGGAACAAGGAGAGGGAGAGGAGGACGCAGCTGGGGCTTGCACTGCCCTTCACTGCTGCAAGGAGCTGTGGGAGCAGGGCTGGCCCATGCACGGGAGGGCCGCAGCTCCGGCCCCGGGCCAGCGCCTGAGCGTCCCTCTCTCGACGCGCTACAGCACAACGCTCGCGGCACCGCGGCAGGGAAGCCACTTTAAACGTAAGCAACATCACATCTTTGAGGAGCTCCGCGAGCTTTCTAGAATAGACTAGGACGAAGAAAACAGCGGAGGTAGGACCAACGTTTTCGCTTCAAAGGCAGCCCTTAACTAACGGAAAAGCCTGAAGAACAAAAGAAGAGAACAAATTACGGGCCCGCTGCCCGCAGTCACCTCCAAAGCCACGGCCCAACCACGCTGCCCAGCCGCGCCTCGAAGCCACACGGGCATCCCGTAACGTCT